AGAAGTTGGCTAACCGCTATGCCGACTCAATATTTTTTTTTTAATTAAAAACAATTAGTCTTGTGTTTGGACAATATACTTTTCTTACAAATATTCATACATTTATTAAATAATATTATATTTTAAAAAATTACATAAACATAAGTATGACACTATTATAATATAAGTGTACGGCCGTCTCAAAGAAGTCCATTGGCCAATGGCCACCACACATACTAACCAAAAACAAATTTGTGTACCACTCAACAAAACAAAAAATCCAAAACAAAAACCTCTTACTAACACTACCAAACCAAACCCAATCAAAACCTGAATAAATCTTGCGGCAGCCGATATGGACTACGGCGCCGTGCCAGAAACGCCTCCATACCACGACCACCCGCTTCTCCGCCGCCGGAGCTCCGCCTCCGCGGTGGCCCAGCTCGCCCTCCTCTCCGACCACAACACCTCCACCTCCACCTCCACCTCCACCACCACCACCACCACCGCCGCCGCCACGTCATCATCATCCTCCTTCCCCTCCGACGACCTGGAACTTCTGTCGATCAAGCCGACCTCCCACAGCTACACCTCGCTCCGGGACCTGCTGCCGGCGGCCGCGGTCAACTCCCCCAAGCCCGGCCCGGCCCTCATGACCCCGCCCGGATCTGACATCTGCATCCGGAACCGCCTCGTCAAGCAGGCCGCGTGGGCCTACCTCCAGCCGATGTCCACCTCCCCCGGATCCTCCGGCGGCGGGTTCCTTCGCCGCCTGTGGCCACGCGCCGCCGCGTTCGTCGATTTCGTCCGACGCAGCATCGCCCGCGCCGTGGGCTGGGCGCTCCGGGTTTTCTCGATCCGGAGCTCCAGATAGCGAAAACCGGGTCCGATCATGCGCTTCGCGTGGTTGCTCTGTATTGATTGGTTATTAATTTGTATCTGATTTCGATTTTCGTGTTGGTGTGAATCGGAGTGGCCAAATTGCGATTTACCTAAAGGAGGGTTCAAATTGAAAAGTTAAAAGGAAGTAAAAGGAATATGAAATTTCACTTACGTGTGTCATTTAACCCTTTTTATTTTATACACCTTTCTTTTGGAATCCATCATAACGCTCATTTCATCCTCATAGTCGCATTAAAAATTTTAAACATATGAAAAAAGATTAATTAGGAATTTATGATTCGATACAGAGTTGTTGAACTGAAATTAAGTGCTTTGGAATTTCGGAAATAAATTCTATTGTATTGTCTTGATACGATCGTCCAACATAACTTTTTGGGTAGATATACTTATTGTTACATAAATCGTCCATCATATTATTTGAATAAAAATATATATTTATAATATTAAATGTGATGTTCTAAGGTCTCATTGTCCCAATATTCTCCCAGTAATCCACAACAAAATCTGTCCATAAAATCATCTTCAAACACATGTCTCATTAAAATAGATTCACTGTTAAGTTATAACTTGAACTTATTAATGATTTAGTAGATAAAAATAATTTTTTATTAAAATACTTTCATAAACTAAAATTGATTCAACTTTCAAATCAACTATACTTTATAAACTAAAATTGATTTTTCCAAGTTACTACTCCAGACAAAATATCTATCGACACGAAAATGGCACATGCATTTGGCAGGAAAACACTGCAAAAGCACCAGTTATGCAGTTATGCTACTGAAAATATTTTCCTCCATTTCACGAACTCAGCGTACCAACATCTACAGCTTCAGGTCTGTGCGAAAACCACTCAAACCCCTTCATTTTTCTTTTACTCGAGTGTTCCTAATTTCATCTCCATTTTTTGTGCTCAATCGCAGGAGATCTTTTCCGGCAAGGCGCGTAAAATCGCAGATGGGCGTTGAAAGCTTGAGCTTGATTCGGAAAACTAAGCGCGCGAGTTTCCGGCTAATCAATGTTTTTGGGTATTTTTAATGTTGCTGTTAATAGTATCAGTATCATCGAAAAATGGGTTTGAGCTGTAAAATTGGGATCGCGTTTGTTTCAGATTTGAAACGGATTTAATGGAGATTCCCAGCCAAGACCCGAAATGTCATGTCCTTTTTATCCCTGGAAATCCGGGTATTTGATTGATTGCTTTGAACTGTGTCTGTAAATATTGCTGGGTGACTGATTTTTTTGAAAAATACAGTGGGACTAATGAGAATGTTTGTGTGATAGGTGTTATCTCGTTCTACATTGATTTCTTGGAGTCTTTGTATGAGTTGTTGGGAGGGTCTGCTTCTGTCACTGGCAAGTATACACACACATATAATTTATCTTGGGAAAGTTCTCTTGATCTTAGCTTACAGTATGTCGTGCTAATTGCCTTTTCTCGTTTTTCCATGGTGAAGCCATAGGCCACATATCCCACTCTGAGAAGGTGAGTACCTTATATTAGTTTTAAGTCTCCATGTAACGTTTGCGACTTGTGTTCGAATACAAGGCAATTGGTGTTATTACCCTTGTGTAGTGTTTATCTTTTCACAATCTTACTTATTTGGAGTTAAAGAGAATGTCTGTGATTTCATGGTTTCTGTATGGGGCAGTTGGTATGAACCAGTAGTATGTTGAAACTTTTTTTCTTAAATATTATTACTATTATTATCTTTTTCTTGTCGCATCTGTAAAACGATGATCCTTGTTATTAAAGCCTTTTTAATGTCTGTCATGTGTTCCATTGAGTTTCTGAATGACTGCATTATGATCTTCAATTGTCCATATAACCTCAAATGGAAACTCATTCCATATTCTATTGTTTTCTTTGATAGGACTGGGGATCTGGGAGGTTGTTCTCTTTACAAGAACAAATAAGTCATAAGGTAAATTTTTTGCAGCACTTTGATTTTTGGTAAAAGGGCTCACTGAAGGAAATTTCGATTATTATTCCAATATGAATTATGAGACTTTGTATGAAGCAATTAGCGATGTCGCATAAGGCCATTGCTCTCTGTCCTCTAATGTTCTTCATGTATACTTCCGTTTTTCTTGTCGAAATAGGAGGTTGGATGATGTGGTAATATATAAAATATGGTTTATCCATGTTTGTTAGAACAAGTTTCTAGTTTCTTCTCTGCAATTTGAAACTGTTTGTATTTTTTTGACTCACTCCTTTTTCCTTTTTCCCTTTATCTTCGCCTTTTACTCTGTCCCAGATAAGCTTCATAGAGCAGGAATTTGGAGATGAATTACCTATAGTGCTGGTAAGCATTGACCACATTAGAAGTCTCACCATTTTTCAATGACCAGTAATGCTTCACCAGTTACATATATTTAATCACAAATTGGTTTTTTCACCACTTCTGTTATCTTCGCTTACATTTTGTGTCATCATAGGTATTTTTCTTGATGTCTATATTGTTGATGAATATTTGACACTGTAGTATTGGCCTTCAAACATTGGGCCTGCCACAAGGGCAAGTGATCGATCTGGAAACAGAAAATTAAAGGACATAAAAGATACAACAATGCATGGCATTTTATTTAAATGTTTAAACGTGTAGTTTGAGAGAAAAATGTTAACTATTCAGTTTACCGTGATGAATGCTTCTATTGCAGCTGGTCGAATATGCAACAACTGATGTGGTTAGTTTTATTTCAGTTTCCTGAAAAATAACTTCGTGAAACTTGTCAAAGCACATTCAATTTTTATTTTTTTCTCTTTATTTATATAATTTTGTTACTGTAATTCTGAAATGTTACAGACTCTGTTTTTAAGTATGTAAAATATTTTTTTGTATTATGGTTTGATACTTAATCCACACTGAAGGTCGGCCATTCCATTGGTTCATATATCTCTCTTGAAATACTAAGAAGATGTCATGAGAAGGTATATAATCAGTTACTAGTTGCATTTTTGTTCTCTCTCTCTCTCTCTCTCTCCCTCCCTATTCTTCTTTTTTTCCTGTTTTTTTTTGCCTTTTCTCATTTTTCCTTGTTTAATGAAATTCTATCAACACTTGTTTACTTTGCCATAGGTCATATACTGCATTGGCCTATACCCATTTTTGGCTCTCAACGATAAATCCTCGGCACAGTCATCAATTAAAAAAATTGCAGCGTAACTTGTCCCTTTATCCTCTTCCTTTAATTCTTCTGTTATTGATTAATCAACAGCCTCATGGATTTATAAAAAGAATTCTATTAGAAAAAAATGATGAGATTATTTTGACAGGCTGCCAACTATATGTGCTGTACTTAGCTTTATGGGAGGCTTGTTAGGTATGCTCCCGTCTCGTATTTCAAGATTCCTTGTGAAAATATCGATGGGGAAATCATGGTCATCTTCTTCAATCAATGTTCTATGCACCCATGTTCTCCAGGTCGAGTTTCATTAGTGCCTTTTTTTTTTATTTAATTTATTTGTTTCTGCATGGTTGGGATTGGAGATCAGGCAATTTTGCCAGCCTGTGCTTTTTCATATGAAATGATTATAACATATCATGAAAATTTGAATAAATTGCTCCCTCCCGTTCACAATAATATAATTTGGCCCGAGGAAAAGTTGTCCAAGATAAAGAGTGACTTTAAGTAAAAATGTTTTACTTACCTATGAAATGCATCTATAATGTACATAATATTCCAAATTAACCTCCATATGCAGCATTTTGCTACTTTTCCTTACTCGTTGTTTACCTTACGACGCCTTTGTTATGATTTTTTGAGCAAGTGATAAACGAATTTAAAAACCTATAATCTCTTACTTTTTCACATTTCTTAGCCGCTAATCGCTGTTTTTCACCCTAAATGGTTTATCTATACAATTCTGTATCTGATTCATTTGACTTGCTCCATGATCACAAAACTTTCTACTCACAGTATCATACAATCCAGAATATGCTGTATATGGCAATGACCGAATTCCAGGAGGTGAATTTTCTTTCTATCCTTTGAAGTTTACCTGTCGACATAAATCGTGTTACTGTTGTGATTTCAATCTGAATGACATTGAACTTCATTTCTTCACTAATTTTTCGGCTTTGCTATATTTTTCCTTTCTTGTTAGTTGCCAGAAAAACCGGATTTGGATTTCATCCGAGAAAATAAGAGCCAAATCGCACTTTTGTTCGGTCAAGATGATCACTGGGGTCCCTTGCATTTATACCAAGAGGTAATACTTTCGCGGGATAATCATTCTATCAAAAAGTTAAGGAATCAAAAAATGGTTCCTAAATTACAAAAAAGCTCCAATAATTCATCATTCCATAACATTTTGCCCCTTCATAACCTGAAACACTTCAACCCCTCCCCCTGCCCCCCATTTTTGTAACTTCCAGAAGCAAATCATGACTTACTGCAATCAACCCAATTTTCTAAATAAAACCCATATTTTGTTGGGGGACCATGTTAGATTTCATTTTCCCTGCCAAAATTATAGTTTAGCTGTTATTGACCAATATATATTTTTCCAACTTCTCATCTTGCTAAAATCTCATCCTCCCTTTGTAATCCCACAACCACAGATTTGCACACAGGTCCCTGATATTAGCATAGAGGTCGAACGTGAAGGCCACACGCATGCTTTCTCGTGTACGGAGGCCGGGTCATTATGGGCTGCTCAGCACGTTTCGAGCTTGATCAAAAGTAACATCGAAACTCGAAAAAACATTTGATACATTCTCAAGTGTTTTCTTTGGTCATGTGAGATTTTATCGTTTTTTTTCTCCTTTTGTTTTTCAAAAAATTTCTGAAAATAGAAACCTTGAAGGAATCTTGCAAAGTCTGCTCAGTAATGAAGCACTTCCTTATAAAGCTAGCTTTGATTATGCATCATCATGGATAGGACCTTTTTATGTCAAGTTATAGTACTATCTTTCACTATATTATTAATTATTGCTCTGTTATTAAATTTTTCTCACTTTTTTTTTTTGTAAATAAATATTTGTACATGATGGGCACTAGTAAATGCAACCACGTACATAATGTGTTTGCAGAATGACATTATGACTTCATGGAAAACCAAAGCCACACACCAAATTTGTGATCCAGGTAATTTAACAGTAATTTGGGAGGGGACTTGACTTTTTCTGTACAGTTTGTGGGGACTTTTAACTTGAAAGCTGTGTTAGGTTTTGTTGGTCTTCACCGACAATGGCTAAAGCTCCCCTAATTCCTAATTAAGCCATTGTTTTATGCCTTGGATTCGAGTTGACTGAAAAAAATGGTGTGGTAAATATTTATAATGAGATATAATATTATTATATTTTTGAGATTTACCTGGTAATTCAATTTGAACTAGTGATTCGATGACCCGAAGATGGTTCGTACTTACTTGCATTGGAGTATTTTTCGGAAGCATTAAAATGAAATACATATTTTTGTGCGAGGCGACTCAACCGTTAAGCAGATCAACCCGTTATACATTACAATTAAATTCATACTTAAGTTATGAAATATTATATATTTTTTTACTTTTTTTTTATAATAAGAAATTAACTTTGGGAGTATGCATATTTTATCAAAAAATACAGTCACAGTGGACTGACGCAAAATCGAAATTCCATGCACGTCACAAAAGCAAATTAAAATGTATACCTAACTGAAAAAAGTACGTACTCCACCGCAACTGTTCATTTCACTTAGNCTAAAAAAAAAAAAAGAAAAAAAGATTGTAGCTATAAAATTCATTAAGCTACAGTTTGAACAGAATGGTACAACAATTATTAGCAGATAAACAAGTATAGTTCGAGCTCGTGTAGTTAACAAGTCGAACTCGATTTGTCTCGTTAAGACTCGAAAATAAGAAATTTTATATTATTTTCTACAATTCGGCTCATTAAAGTTCACGTTCGACTTGTAAATTATTGATAAATGAGACTAACTCGAGCCCCGATTACTGACTCTTTTAGTTAGTTAGCCGAATTCAATTCGGCTCGACTTGTTAAAGAGTCGAGCTCGAGCTCGTTTACACAGACAATAGTAAAGCAATCAATAGGTTTGCCTACGAATAGTAAAGAATTGTAGTTGTAATAGTATTTTCTCTTCCATATTTTTTTAAACGTATTAAACGTTAAATATTATTATTTCATGTGTTACCGTAATTAATAACTTTTCACTCCTCAAAATTCTAATTTTCAGTGGCATCAGTTAATCACTACAAGATGCTATTGGTTATATTTTTATTTTTATTTTTGAACCAAGATTTATCTCATTCAGACAACAAATATATAGAAATTTATTCACAAAAATACTACTCATTCATTTTATTTAAATTTTAACAAAGTAAGTAATCGTTACTATGTATTTTTTGACAGAAAATATTATTCACCAACTCACATATTTCTAACTATAATTATTATCAATTAATATATTTGTTATTTTTGTATTACATCGACTTTAAATTATATTTTCTATTATATATATATTCGTTCATTCACACCACTAATATCTATATCATTTTTCATAAAAACAATTTTTCTTTTTACTCATTTTTTTTAATCTCACTTAGACAAAAAGTTTTGAANCACACACCACTGTCTGAAAAATCTCACAAAAAGCTCTTTAAAATAATAAAAAAATAAAAAATAAAAACCCTCCTCGCAATAATGCCCGGCGGCAAGAAAAACCACCACAACATTCTCCTCACAGTGGCCGTCAAACTATCCTGCTGCCGCCGGCCGCGGCCCTCCTCCGCCTTCAGCCCCTCCCCACGCCGGCCGGCCGAGCCCCTCTCCGGCCACCACCTCCGCCGCCGCCGCCGCCATCCCCACTCCTCCCCCTCCGTCGCCACGTGGGACACCACCACAACCACCATCTCCACCTCCCCGCCGGCGTCCTACTCCAGCGACGCTCCGGCGGGGTTCGGCGGCGTGGCGGTGGAGAAGGACTCCGACGACCCGTACCTCGACTTCCGGCGATCGATGCTTCAGATGATACTCGAGAGGGAGATATACTCGAGGGACGAGCTCAAGGAGCTTCTTGACTGCTTCCTCCGGCTAAACGACCCATATTACCACGGCGTTATCGTTCGGGCCTTCACCGAGATCTGGAATGGGGGCCCGCCGGGAAATCTCGGCCAGAATGGCGGGTGGTGGTTCACCGGGGGCTATTAGGTAACTTTCAAGGGCGTTTTGGTAATTTGGAATAAGGAGTTGGCTAGTTGAATCGTAAAATTTGGTCACTATTGGGTAATTTTAAGGGCATTCTGGTAAATTTAAAATAAAACTTGCTAATGCTACTTGGTCGTGAGACAGAATTTGTCCGGTAAAAATTCACAATTTTAAGGGGAAAAAGTAAAACTTGCTAATTCTAATTTAATTTTCAATTGAAATTGCAATGGAGATTATTAATTTTCAGAAAAAAAATTGTGATTTTTATAGAACAAATTCTGCTAACAATAAGCCAAAATTAGTGGGCCAAATTATGATTTAATTAGCCGGTCTCCAGTTTATATATTTTGTATAGGATGTGACTTTTTCACCCAACAGCATCTCATGATGTGCTGTAGTGTTGCTGTTGGGCTTGCAAAATTTGAGTGGTAATTGTAATATTGATGTGATTTGATTAGTGTTAATGGTGAATGCAGTTAAATAATATTGCTTTAGGTAATTGTAATTTTGTTGTGATTTACTTAGTATGCATGCATGTATTTTTCTTTTTTTCTTCTGTGAAATTATTTTCTTGAACGGCGAGTATGTTATGTTAATTAAAATCTTTTTGTCAAGTCTAGTTATTTTAATAGCATTTTCATTTAATCTACTTTGCCACAATTAGTAAACTATTCTATTTTTTTTTTCTTAATATATGTGTAAACAAAAGAGTATTTGATTAATAATAATAGCCTTATTTGGTAAAGTATTTTAACTAGAAAATGTATATTATTTATTCCATGCACGATTTTAATTAATGAGGCAATTATATGCATCTGCATCTAAAAAGATACACCCGTAGATGATTTTAGTCGTGTCGCAATTCTATTGGTTGGCCCCAACTTGATTGTTCTTACATCTCATCTCATTTCATGTGAATTTTGAGGATTATTTATACACATTTACTGTGGTCAATAAATACAGATGGTTGAGTTCATCCATATAATGTCTCTGCATGTCGTTGAAATTTAATTAATGGGCCAATTTATATTTTGCCGTGTGGTCACGGTAAAATTAAATGGCCCAACATATATCCCTTCATCACCACAATAAAAAATGATATTTCTTGTGACTCTTTACATATTTTCGTATTAGAACAAATAAACAACTAATTAAACTTGAGAGATTAACGTATTACAAAATTATATGTATGACGTTGTACAGTTCTCAGATAAGTAAATATATAAATAATTAAACTTGAGAGCTCATCAACTTATAAGCATAGTAAAAAAAATAAAATAAAATCAGTTAGTTTCAGTAGACATGCAATATTAATATTATTAGAGCTTATTAACTTATTAGTTTACTTTATATAGTGTCAGTCTCAAATTAATTAGTCCACTTGCAGATACATTAATAACTCAAATATGTATATGATCTTTGTGCAGAACAATGAGAAGGGTGTTCAAAAATTGAGTTAAATGTATGTTCACAAAAATTGCACTTCTTAGTACTTACTCCATTTATTTCCCACCATATACTCTCCAATTTTGTGAANGAAAAAAAAAAAAAAAATGATGCCTCATGTCATATTACACTTCAAGGTATGATTGAAGTTATATCTAATAATATTTAAGATCATGAGTTCTTAATTAGGAGTTTGTAAGATTGGGAGTCCTTTCTATAAAATCATCTTTTGAAGTTCACTCTAAGGTTAGTACTCCATATTTTACATAGGCTTCACCTCTTGCTTTATATATCAAATCACTTTAACAAATTTTGCCTATTTAAATTCTAATATCTGATTATGTCCGATCGAGTAAAACTTAGCTGAACACATTCATTTCAACTTTGAACGATTTTAGATTTTTTTTTTTTAAACAATTGTCTCGTACGTTCAAAAATAGAGTTCAAAGG